AGAGAAAAGAAAGGAAGGGAAAGAAAGGGAAAGAGGTAAAAATATGTACAAAGGCATAACAAACATCACACTTAGTGATATTGCTAGTTGCTTTTTCCCCGAAATTGGAAATAAGACAAGGAAGTTGTCTCTCACTTCTCTGCAACATTGTATTTAAACTCCTGAGCAGTGAAATAAGATCCAAAAAAGGAAATAATTGTTATTTTGGGGAAAGAAACAGTGAATCAGTCTTTTTTTGTTGATAACATTATTTTCTTTAAAATATAAAAGAAATCTATAAATACTTTACTAGAACTAATACATGAATTTAGCAATGCCATAAATACATGGTTAATGTTTCTCAAACCAATTATATTGCCTACAATGGTAATAAGGAATTTGAAAAGCGATATCATTTGAAGTAGTACCAGAGAGAATAAAATAACTAGAAATAAATTTAATGAAAGATGTGCCTGATTTTTAAAATTTATCTAAATAAATGGAGAAATATACGACGCTAACAGATTTCTAGCTCAATATTATTATCAGCTCCCCCAAATTTATCTATAGTTTCAAATCAAACCCAAGAAAAATCCAAAAGCCTTTTCTTGTAGAAATTGGCAAATTGATTTGAAAAGATATGTGGAAAATCAAAGAATCTAGAAAGTCCAAGACAATCTTTTCTAATTGACTTCAAGACTTTTTTTAAGCCATGGTATTTAACACAAAATCATATCAGCATAAGGGTAGACAAACAGATCAATGGTATGGCATAGAAAGTAGAGATATAAACCCATGCTTATATTGTAAATTGCTTTTTGAATATTTTCATGACCTTGGAGTGGCAAATTCTTCTTAGAGAGTACACTGAAGTCATTAATTATAAAAGAAAAAATAATAAATTGGACTTCATCAAAGTTAAAGATTTTTTCCTATCAAAAGACATAATTAAGAAAATAAAAGAGAAGCTACAGACTGGGTGAAAATATTTACAATACATAAATCAGACAAAACACTTCTATCCATAATCTATAAAAAAAACTCCTACCCATCATAAATAAAATAAAATTCAATAATATAAATGGGTCAAACATTTGAACAGATACTTCACCAAAAAATAAATAAGTTGCCAGTAAACACTTGAAAACGTGCTTGACATAATTTCCCCATTAAAGAAATACAAATTAAAACTAAAATTAGATATCACATCGTACATACTGGAATGGCTAAAACTAGAAAGGCCATCACTGGTAGTCTTTATAAAAACAGTTTGTCAGGTTTTAAAATGGTTAAATGTACTCTTATGCAATGATCCAGTAATTCCACTCCCACATATTTACCCAAGAGAAATGAAAACATTCTTCCACAAAAAGACTTGCACAAGAACAGCAGTTTTATTTATACTAGTCTCAAACTGGAATCCACAATGTCCATCAACAGAAAAATGAGTAAGCAGATTGTGGTAGATTCACACAATGGAATACCGCTCAACAGTAGAAATGAACAAACTAACTGTTCAACACAGCAACATAGATGATAAGCAAAATAAGACAGACACAAAAGCATGTATATGTTTTACCCATTTATATGAAATCCAAGAGCAGGCAGTATTAACATATGACAGAATAAATGACAGCAATGGTTGCCCCTGAGAGACTGCCTGGCTGCATGTAGTCAGCATTCAGGGTGACAAGCAGTGTATGCATTGCTCTCTTCATTTTTCAAATAAAAAATCAGTTTTTAGTTGTGTGTCTCCCTTCACATCTCCACTGTTTCTTCAGAATTCTGTAGAGCACCACGATTGCTTTCTTAACCTCTGGGAGCATCCCCTACCTATTATTGCAACTAGCACTTTTCTGACCACCTTTTGTCTTTGCGATTTTATTTGAAATCTCTTATGTGTTCATTGTCCTCCACCATTCTCTTTGTCATTGTAAATCTAATTCCTTTGTTATTATTTTAATGATCTTTAACCAGAAACTTTTTTTTTTACAGGAATTCAAACCAATAATGTGACATGATTGTGTCCTGCTTTATGCTGCGTAATGGGAAGTGCCTATAATTCTCTTCCGGTTGGATAAAAAGATCTCCCAAGTTTTCATAACATTTAGGAATACTGAGATGTTGATTAAAACATTATCAGAGCAATAACATGATCAACTAAGAACTAGAATTAGAGACTCAGCTTTAAAATTGCTTTAACAGGAAACAGCAGCAATTTCTGAAATTCAGATGCCTAAAATGATTAACCGTATATAGCAATAGTACAGACAGATTTATATTAACACAAAGCAGAGCCAGATGTTCCAGGAGATATCACTGATATTCTCATGAAATTCTCAATAATATGGTATTATTATCATTATTAAACCACACTGTATTACTTATGAATTAATTTTATGATATATGATGGTATTTCCTTCCTAGCAGCTATAGATTAGAGAGGGACATCTTATTTTTATTTTGCCAAATTTGTTTTCTCTCAGTTGTTGATTAAGATGCATTTTCAAGGTTAGATTTTTATTTACATTCCATTGACTTTCATTTCTCTATGGATGACCTGCTTACTCCATCTAGATTTTGTAGGAATTTAATACTTTTATTTTGAAAAATATTCCAGATATGGTTAGGTGAAGATATCTTTACAATGACTTTGTTCGGTTTAGACTGGGCTTTTTCAGTACCCTCTATATTAGTCTTGCATAGGCTCCATGATATCTTCTATAACATCTTTGTTTGTTGCTTCAATTCCATTTATTCTGGGCTCTACTGAGTATCACCTATTTTATATGTGTTCGTTCTTTGTAGCTTGTCCTTTATATGTAAGGTCTTACAGTCTCCACAAACATCTCAGAATCTTGACGACCATTTTCACAGGGTGTCCTTTTTCCCTAGGATATTCACGGAAGACCAGGATGTAGATGAGGGGCTTCTCTATGACACTATATTCAAGCACTTCAAAAGACATAAGCTGGAGATTTCAAATGCAATAAAAAAGACATTTCCATTCCTTGAGGGCCTCCGCGACCGTGAACTCATCACAGATAAAATGTTTGAAGTAAGTGGAGTTTATTTCACAGCCTGGCAGATATGCTTTCATATTTTACAAGTATTTCTGTAAGTGCTCCTGTAAGGCAGAAAAGAAGAGGAGAAGCAGAGGTCACCAGAGATGGCCCTACTTCCAGCTAAGGAAATGGTGTCCCATGGCACCCTCTGGAGTTGGGGTCAATGGTACTGGAGAAACTGGAATAGAAACAGGTGTTCTCCATAAATGTACAATGTTTTGTAGAATTCATACACTATAACATAAACCAAAATTTAAAAATAATTTTAATGAATTGATTTACTGAAATCATAATTAACAGAGCATTTTATTTCAATTAACATCAATTTAAAATACCTAGATCTGAGAACATTAAAACCCACAGGGAAGTGGTGCCTAGAGGGGACAAATTTGGAAGTAGATGCTTGTTATTCTTTCTCCAACACATTCGTTTTCTTTGTCTTTCCTTTATTTGTGCATTTCTGGAGTCTTGGAATATGGGTAAATTCCATCCATAGGCCCTGCTGGAGATACAGAGCAGTGAGTCATCTCCGGCTATGAATGTGCTTCCTCTGTGGCCAAGTTCACAGCAAGGGGAGAATGGTCGCCTGGTTTCCTTGAGCCCTTCAGGCCAAATCAGTCTTGGGGGAAAAGCAGAGGTTGTCCAGTCAACAAAACAGCCACTCATTGATTGCCTGCTACGTCTATCCCAAAAACATATCAGTCAGGCGCTTAAAGAACTTTGAGCCCACTTTTATCCTTCAAAGTTGTTCCTTTTTACATCTAATGTAAATAAGGGTGAGGCGATCAGGCTCAATCAGTGGGTATTTTTAAGGAGATGGAATTTACTTCTTTCATTACTGGCTATACAAATATGTAAAAATTATGAAACTTTACATGCGAAGATACCTGTGAAGAGAAATTGAAATTCAGTAAACATAAAATTTCTTTTTATGGCTCTTCTGTAACTTGAAAGTCTGTATTTGTATTTTTTCCATTCAATATTTTTAAAGGATTCTCAAGATTCTTGTAGAAACCTGGTCCCTGTACAAAGAGTGGTGTACAATGTTCTCAGTGAGCTGGAGAAGACATTTAACCTGCCAGTTTTGGAAGCACTGTTCAGCGAGGTCAACATGCAGGAATACCCCGATTTAATTCACATTCGTAAAAGCTTCAACAATGGTAATTAGGTTTATTATCTACTTTTGAGTTCCAGGGCCAATTTTTTTCAATAAGCATATACTGAGCTCCTACCATGTGTGACACATTGTGTTGGGCAGTGGGGATAGAGTAGTTAACAAAATAGACGTGTCATGCATCGTCTTGAAGCCCGTGGTATATGGTTATGGTAAAACAGATACCTGGAGGTCTGGTTCACTGGCCACTTAGACTCACAGGACAACCAGAGCTACGCTGGCAGCAGATTGACTTAGAAGATAAGAAACACGGAACTCCAATGGGGCAGCATCAGTTGTTTCTTCTCTTTAGTGGGAGTCCTTGCAGAGGCCTACATAGCAGCCCACTAAATTGACTACTACCTGCCTTGAGTGACAGCTTAGCTGTGGGTGCGGGATCCACTTTGGCATAGCACCACATGTCTGTGGGAGTCAATATCTCTTGTAACAACTCCATAGTCATAGCTTTCAGGGTGCCACAGGGACAATCTGGGTTGTAAGAGTTATCAATTGAAGGAAGACCACACTTATTCCTTCCCTACAGGTATTTATAGTTCATGTAGAGTTTCAGGCAACCAGTTATGGGTCATTTCTAAGCCCAGGGTTTGCCCACTAAGACCAGGAAAAGGCTACCTTTATTAAATTTCTAGAATGATGAGCAAGAAAATTAACCCCGGGTCAAGTTTGACTTTACTGAAGGATAAATAGTTTTGTTAACCCTTTACCCACAAGGGTTAAAAGAAACGTTAATCAAATAATCACAAAACTGATTGCTCTGACAGGGACTATTTTTGGTGCTGTATCAAACTAAAGTTTTGATTCTTGACTTTTTTCCTGAGAAGGCATAATTTATACTATTATAATGGTACACAGTAAAGATGCCCTCTATTTTGTTTCACTTGCCTGGCAAAATTTTATTCCCCTCACAGTTTGATCTCAACCCAGTTCTCCAAATGAGAGATGGAGACGTCACAAGAAAAATGAGCACATGCCCTGAAGAGGGTGGATGCTATGGGGACTGGAATAAAAGTGTGAAAGCATGTCTGCAAAACAGGACAAACTGGATCTGACTAAATCCAAGAGTGAGAAGCAGTATAGGAGCTGACCTAAGAGAGATCAATTGGAGGAAGATAGTAAATGGTCTGGAACCCAAAGCTAAGGAATTTGAAGTTTATTTACTAGGCAATAAAGAAATACTACAAATTTATAAACAAGGAAAAAAGTTTCGGCAGTTATATATGGTATGGCTTATTGATTTGTATTAATACTAACATTATCTAGATTAAAATAATTGTTGTAACAAGTCATTCAAGTCAAAAAGTGAATAAAAGGAAATCACATATCTGGGCACAAATTTCAAGTCAATGTTATGTTTGTAAGCAGGATGGCCCAGGCTGTGGGGATGAAGGGAATAGTGTTACATTTACTGCCCACATTCACAGGGGCTCTGTTCCTCTCCATGGACTGCAGGGACTCCCTTCCTAACCCCAGTGTCCACAACTCATGTGTTTGTTTCTGGCACTCCTTATGCTTGGGTGACCTGCACTGAGGCTCACTGTCCCCTTCCTGGGCCAGCGCCGCCCACTGCCCCAGCCAGCACAGCAGTCCACCCACCCTCAGGGAGATACTGCTGACTCTCAGACCCTAAAGTCCACACAAGCTGCCCCTGTGTCCCCTGTGATGCTTATTTGGAAACTGTTCATCCTCCCTGACCCAATTAAGCCAACGTTTTCCTGTTTTCTAGCCTCATCTTTAAAGCTGTTGGAGTTTTCTCTTTTATTTTTTATATATGTATGTTTTTGGAGATAGGATCTCACTCTGCCCAGGTTAGATGGCAGGCTAGTGAGCTATCTCTGCTCACTACAACCTTGACTTCCTGGACTCAAGTAGTTCTCCCGCTTCAGCCTTCTTAGTAGCTGGGACCACAGGTGCACACAACCACATCAGGCTGATTTTGTTAGTTTTTTTTTTTTTTTTCTGACACAAGGTCTTGCTGTGTGGTCTAAGCTGGTCTCAAAATCCTAGGCTTAGGCGATGCTCCTGCATCACCATCCCACAGTTCTATGATTACAAGTGTGAGCCACTTCACCTGGCCAGTTTTCTCTTTTATGATGGAATCTCTCTAGGACCTGAGACTATCCTTCCAGGGAATCCCTCTGTTTCTTCCTTACACTTGATATATGCCTACGCTGCCAAATGACAATTTTGCAGGTAACACAACTCACTGAGTTTCCATTACTTCTTTATCGTTAAATTTTGAGTATCCCCTTTCTGTGTAGGACACGTAAAAGCTCATTGTTGAGGTCGTCTCTTCTCTGTCCCAGAAGATGATGGGAGAAGTTTAAGTCATGTGTAACCCTCTGACTTCTGAGTCACCCGAATGCTGGAAATTCCTAAAAGCCAATTTCCAGATGTTGTCCCTGGTTCTCACAGATCTTCAATTGCTTTCTTCTCTCTCCCACACTTCAGCAATCCAAGACAAATTATCTTTCCAAGAAAGCGATCGAAAAGAAAGGGAAGAGAGGCCTGACATCCAACTAAGTCTTGAACAAGGTAAAAATGACAGAATAAAAACTTTCTCATTGCTAAGAGGAAAAGGAGACAAGGGAGGTGAGGGCCCAAGGTTCTGAGGGGAAATTGTGAATCAGGGAAGACGTGGAAGGACCATGGAGAAGTCAAGGAGGGGGTTGTATGAGCTCCTACCCAGATGTTGGGTCTGGAGAAGTGGCCAAAACAAGACATAGTTGGCTCAACAACCATAAAGGAATCAGAGCCAAGTGTGTCAGTAGGCCAGATTTACAGATGCTAACTACCTAGAAGTAACTGTGATTTAGAAATGTCCCTGTAGGAGGTCAGTATGAAGCTGTGAAGTGTTGAGAACCACAGCTCATGGCCCATGGTCAACATCAAAGAGGAGACCCTTGGGGGAAGAAAAGCTCCTGTTTTATCTGTACTTTCACATTCTCAACACTTTTGACGCCAAACGTGGAAAATCTCCCCACACCAACCATCTCCAATTCCCTGCAGAACTGTGAACCCCATCCTAAAGGGATTTCCAAAGGTCACCTCATTAACATAAACTCAGGCTTGGTTGAAATGGGGTTGTTATGCATAACAGGAAGTGCGGCTGAGTCTCTCTCTGTCACCCAGACTGGAGTGCAGTGGCATCATCTTGGCTCACTCACTGCAGCCTCCGCCACTTCTTACTGTTTTCAAAGAACATTAGTAGTTTCTGGAATGATAAGAGCTTTTTAATTTTTTTCTATTTTACTCAGGACTACAGGTAGAAAAATAAAAGTAGAGAAAAGGAGGAGGAGGTGCAAAACATGGGGAGAGCATGACTCTGTTATGTGTTAGGCGTGATTATAGGAGCAGGCATATTTTTTCCAGAGAGCACTTCATCTTAGCTCAGAATATTAGTGTGCAGCATCACAGCACTGGGAACTCTTCTCTGGTCACTGTCTAGAGGTCACCCAAGGAATGTGTGTGACCTCGAGAAGCTGAAAGGACAAGGAACTAGGTTGTCCTTTCCAGACCCCAGAAAGGAATAAAGACCTACTAACATAATGGCTTTAGGCAGTGAGACCCGTGTCACACTTCTCCCTGACATAACTGAAAGATAATAAAATACAATAACAAAAATAAAATAACTCTTTTGTTTCTCATTAGTTTCTGGTGAACTAGAAGATTACCAAATGACCAAAGAAGGAGAATCAGAAGAGCTTGCTTCTAGCTTGCTATGATG